TTCGTTTATGTTTTCATAAAATGTATCTAAAGATTTTCTTTCTAATATCCATGTTTTATAAATGGATTGTAAATTATCTATTTCATTTGTTTGACCATGTTTTAAATAAAGCATTTGCATATTAAATAAATATTTTTCTACATTTGAACATTGAATTGTATGACAATAAAGACAACAACCACGAAGAACCTTGAAAATTGCAAAAAAATATTAAAAAAAAAGAAGATTGAAGAAAATTTATTTATTGTAATTTACATTAACAAGATCGAAGAAAGAATACGGGATTGTAAACACGTAAAACAAGTGATATATGTCCAAGATGCCCTGAACAAGCAACAAATCCTTGATCACAAGTAAAACAACGATCATTTTTTTTATCAAAGGGTCTTAATGCTAAATCATATGGACTATCAGATACTAGTACACCAAGACGATCAATTGCTTGTGACGATGTTAATTCTTTTACACTTAAACGACGAATTTCTTCAGATATATAATTACTAAATAGAAGACCACCAATTGTGGTATCGGATGGATAATAATTGATTGTCTCCACATCTTGTTTTCTACTTTGAAAATAAATCAACTAAAAATTCATCGGATGGATTTTCAGATCCCTCTCAAACGTGAATGGTCCATTAGAGAGAACCGATTAGAAATTATATGGAAATTTTTATATATTAAAAACTGAAAAAATTTCATTCTAATAAACGAGAAATTTGATTTATATCAAAAATGAAAGTTTTAATTTCTCTGAAAGAGGATGCCACAAGATGATATCATATGTTTTTTTTGTTACTTCGCAATTCAACTGAAACATTTCCATTTTTTCATAGCTAACATTCTCTTAACAAATGTATTTAGAGTAGATAACATCCACATTGATTTAATGTTAAATTAGTTTTTGTTATTTGAATATCTATGGAAACATATGTTAAATTTGATATACGTAGTATAGTCTTATCGAATAAAATGGGAAAAATTTTTGTTAATATCTTTAGTTAAAGATATCTGATTACTATAGACATACCTGCTAGAGATGCTTGGTAATTCTATTATATCTAATTGTGCTACTGGTTTTAGTTATTTGTGTAAATTAGAAGAAAAAATAGAAAATAAAACAATTTTTGACTAAATTAATTAAATTCGTATGTTACATGTAGATATTCTTATGAAATATTTCAAATATTTAACGTTGCGCCATTTTTGAGACAAACATATTAATATTATATTATTTAAATAATACGATATTATCGATTGAAACAATATAGTTTAAGATAAGTTCTGTTTCTAAACCATATCCTTACAGTCTAGAGAAAAACGAAACTAAATGCATAGACAAGTAATCGATCTATTGTATTATAAATATGTTTATACAAATAATTATTCACACATAGATAGAAAAAATAGAGAAGAAAGGTAAATCCAGACAGAAAAAATATTAAACATGAAAAAGATGAAGAACGAAAGAAAACAGTTGAGATAGATAGAAGAATGAAGACATGATGACTACCACATAAAAATTCTCTCTCATAGGATTTCATTTTCTTGATTTCCATCAGACAATTTTCGTTTGAATGATTGTTCATTTGTTCCATTCATTGTGGTAGTACACATGTTCATACTATTGTTTAAATCTATACGATTAAATAAATTTGCTGAATCAGAAGAGAAATGGACGATATTTGTAACGAATTCATATTCAATATTTGGTAATGCAATTTTATAGAATGAAGCTAGATCAGAAAAAAAGAAAAATGATGAAGTGAAATTTGATGTAACTTACCAAGAGCTAAGGCATCAGATCGGCTGAATTGACCTTCACTAAGATCTGGAATTGGCAATTTATCATCTTCGTATGGAAGACTAGAATTGTGAATCACTTCAGACAACGTATGGTAGAGGTTTATGAATGATGTCTATAGTAACAAGAAAAATTATCGATATTAATTTAATAAAGAAAAGCTTCAATAATAATAATAAGTGTTCTTCGAAACACTCTTTATCGCAACATTTACTTCAATATGTTCGATTTTATCCGAAAATGAGCCAAATTTAGGATGCGTGAGACTTGTTACTATATCAGTTGATTTCGATCTGCTCCACAGATGTTTTAACACATCATTTGTTGGAACAAAATTTTTCTTATGTAAACTTTGATAATGCCATTTAAGATAAAGATCAAGATTGTTTTGTTCTATTGATGTAATTTTATCCCAAAATGATCGTGTCTTTGCCTCTTGCACCAAATCAATGATTTTCCGATTATTCTTCCAAAAGAAAATATATAATTTCAATCAGAATAAGATAATGATCAATCACTCACCGAATACTTCTTCTCAAGACGAAATTGGTTCATAAGTTTTTCCACAGACAAATAAATTTCTTGAGTGTGTCCACGCGCAATCATTTCTATAATTGTTCGTGCAATGGTATGCGATGCAGCTTTCATAGACATGTTGTAACATTTAATGATTTTATTTGTTGATTCTTTCGTCATATTCAATTGGTCACCGAGATCAATACGTTCTTTGAGTGTTTTGATCAGATCGTTATTTGTTTCGTCTATTTTTGAACCCAAAGACGAACAAATGTCGAATACTTGATTTTCTAGTCGTTCGAGAATAGCAACTGTATCAGCTGGTGATGGTGATGGGTTTAAAAGAAGAAAATCTCGAATACTTTTTCGGAAATCAGCGTAGTCTTGCATTTCTTCCAAGTTGAAATATAAAATGACAATGACAATGGTAATTCTTCATTGTGTATGTCCGTCCATTTGATCATGATAAACTGTCGGACAACCAATGTTCCAAAGAAAGGAAAGATGTCATGGTCAGTGAGTGACCACAAATGGAGAGTTTTTATATGTAAAATACAAGCAGACGATCATTTCTCAAAATTGATCGAATCAGTTGGTCGAGCTTATCGACGAAATCAAAACAATTGCTTCAAACTGAATGTTAAGCTTAACGATTAAAACGAGAAAATGATGAAGATGTCGACCAAATCTTAAAAATTCTGCTGCGCGTGGCAGAAGAAAATATTCTTCATCATTTTCCTTGTCATCATTTATTATTTCTTCGTTATCTAATATTGTTGAAGATTGAATTAAAGTATTCGGCTATGAATTTTGATTGGCATCATTTGTATCTTTAGTTTTCAAAAAAAAACATAATAATAATAATTGGTGAAAGAAAAAGCAAAATCATATCCAATACATACCACAAGTAACAATTGATATCAATTGAAGACCAATAAGGAAAAATAAAATCGTGAAGAGATACATGTTGATAAATGCGTATCTAAATAGAACTTTTGAAAGTAACGAAATGTAAATGAATTTTATGATGTTTTATTACTCTATTTATAATGTCAAAAGGAAAAGACGACAAAATTTCTTTTATTGAAAGTCTTAAATGTCATGTGAACTTTGTTAAATGATTGTAGAACTCCTGTTTCTCTAATCTATATAACAGACCTCTCTATGCAGGCGGAAAACAACAGAGAAAGAAAAAGTAATAATAATCATCATTATCATCGATCGATGCATCGTTCTATTGCCTGACAAGACTTCTATCGTGACGAAAGATTGTTGAAAAGGTAATTTAACTAATGTTCCCTTTCTTGGACTATGAAGGTAATATTCAAGTTTGAATATGACGAATAAAATACATGTTTTTGCCTACGCAGATATATTTGTAAAATAAAATATTTCTTCATGATTATATAGTCAATTGAAAAGCATTTTAAATCACAAAAATCTCTTTTTATTTTTCAATAAATTAATCACATCGATTGATGTGAGTTAATGTGAAAAGCACGTACAAAAAAGGGTGTGGGTGTGGGTGGGTGGCTGTGTGGGTGTGAATTTATTTCTTATTTTTAAAACCCACACCCAAAAACACATGTTTTTCGACGGTACTTCCAGTATTTTACTTTTCCTGAATTACAGGAATAATATTTCTGAAAAAAAAAACGCGCATCCCGATTTGATCTCTTTTATAAAGAAAAACTTGCAGGTAGAAA